AGAGAGAGAGAGAGAGAGAGAGAGAGAGAGAGAATCCTCCAAAACAAGTCTTTTTCAGATTTTGAGTGCCTGAAAAAGACACGATGTAGCAGAGAGAGATCAAAATTGGGAGGAGACTTTTTTTTTTAAATAAATTATTATTTATTTATTATCAGCTGTTACCCTCAGCACAGCGGGCCCCACCCGCAATCCCGTAAGCTGAGATGCAGCCAATCAAAGACCTGGGCTTTGGATTAAATTTCCTCCTTGAGCCAATCACATAAGAGATAAGGCCCCAAAAGTGCACAAACCAAAATAATAAATAATAAATAATTCCCAGAAAAAAAGAGCAAAAAAGCGCATGAAAATTCAATCAATAGTTACTACAAATATATGCATGTTGATGGTCACTTCCTAAATACAAATAATAATTGCCACTCAACTCACACACACACACACACACACACACACACACACACACATCACTACAAGATGGAAGCAAACACGGTGTTATCTGAAAGAAAGCTAGCAAACGCAGTAGGGGCAAAGTCAGCAAGGGCCTGCGACAACTGCATAAAGAAGCGGGCCCGCTGGTACTGCGCCGCAGACGATGCCTTCCTCTGCCAGGCGTGCGACCTCTCCGTCCACTCGGCCAACCCCCTGGCCCGCCGTCACGACCGAGTCCGCCTCAAGACAGCGTCCGACGACCCCGCGTGGCACCGGGGATTCACCCGCAAGGCCCGAACCCCCAGGCCCAACAAGAAAAACATCAGCGCCGCCAAGAGCCAGTCCGGGCCGGGCTCCAACCCTCAGGCCCACCACCTCGTGCCCGATATGTGCAGCGAAGACAACGACACGGAGGAGGAGCAGCTGCTGTACCGTGTCCCTGTATTCGACCCGTTTGTGGCTAACGATCACAATTATGATAATAACCACTTTCTCCCGAGCGAGATGGATCTGGCGGAGTTTGCGGCCGACGTGGAGTGCTTGTTGGGGAACGGGCTCGAGCAAGGGGCGTTGGACATGAAGGGGCTCGGGATTGGAGATATTCTCGACTGCAATGACGTGGAGAGGGAGAAAGGATCGACGGCCCTTGTTAAAATCGAGGACGGCGAAGAAACTGGAGATATTGTTATTAACAATAATACCAATGATGATCGTGAGGAGGGGGAGTTTGTTGGTATCGGAAAAGAGAGCTTCTTGTTGAATTTTGATTACGATTTGCCGGTTTTGGGTGAGGAGGAGAATAAGGCAGAGGAGGAGCATAAGTTCCAAGATTCTATTAATGTTAAAGCCTGTTGTTCTAAGAAGATCTTTCTAAGGCTGGATTATGAAGGGGTGATGTCGGCTTGGGATGATCACAAGTCGCCATGGACAACCGGGGAACGGCCCGATTTGAATTCCGCTGGATGCTTGCCCGATTGCCTGGTATCTATGCTTTTTGCTTATCCCACTAAATATTTTGCCAGTTGCTTATCCCATATGTATATATACTAATGTGTGTAGGCAATTATTTCAATTTTTTTCGTCGAATGCCACATGTACATTCCATAACCGTATCAATATATCACTCGTGTACTGCATAGAAACACGCTCGACGAAACACATAGGCCAACCATCACAAACTCCCTTTGAACTATTTTGATATGCTCATTGTTGTCAATTTTTCAGGGCGCGGGCGGGTCAATGCACGTGTATGGAGGACAGATGGGGATGACGAGCACGCATGCAACAATCATGGCCGACGGAGGACGAGAGGCGAGGGTTTCGAGATACAGAGAAAAACGGCGGACTAGGTTGTTTTCCAAGAAAATAAGGTACGAGGTCCGGAAGCTTAATGCCGAGAAAAGGCCCAGGATGAAAGGGAGGTTCGTCAAGAGAACCAGTTTTGTTGCGCCGCCTTTTGCTTTGCACAACACTGATTTGATAATTAGATAGAAAGAGCCTTAGGAAATTAATCAATGTGTAAGCTGTAACTGTCAACAACCAGGGTTAACTACCTGCGTTAAACTGGCCTATGTTGTCCGGAGTAGGGGAAGATTATGTTTAATTTTTGCCTTCTTCGAGACGTCTTGAGTGAAAAATTGCACGTAATAAATTAAGAAGTGTGTACAGCGACAATGCTATGGTGCAGTTTTTGTAATATTGATTTAATATTCAGTAATTATTAACCTTTATATACCCTCATTGATTAATGATTAGTATGTTAGATTTTGATTAAGTTTTGTCCCTGTATACCAAAGATGTGTAGGATCTTATTAGTATAAATAGGTCCTTAGCCTTTGGTTACAATTGCACCTTATTCTATTATCTCCTATTTAGAAGGAAATCCTTAATTAAGGAAATCCTATTTTGTGGGTTATTTAACCCTAGTTGTATTTTGTTGGTGAGTTTAGTAAATTTGGCGTTGCGGTTGGCGGTGCCCTGAGACGTAGGCTATTTTCGC